TCAACAGAGAAAAGACAGAAAGAAAAAAAAAAATCAAACCGTCCGATTTAAAGCAGCACCAAGAAAAATAGAGACAGGACATACTTTTTAAAAGCTCTCCCTGTGTACCAATCTCCCTGACCCTGAGGTGGAGGGATTTTTCTGCCTTCCCCTCCTTCCAAGTCCTTGAGTCCCACAGTCTGTCAATTTTCTTAACTGAGTGACTTTCATTTGAAATAAGAGAGCTTTTCAACTTGTCAGAGGCCTGAGAGTTTCATTCGGCTTTAATAGTTTCCTCAGAAAAGAAGTGTCACTAGGCACATGCCCTGGGTATTTACTCCTCCACCCAGGTTTGCATGCAGTCAGGTGCACACATGCTCTCTCGCAAACGCATACAAGGAACACTTAAACATAGGGACACGCATATATGTTCTCTTGCGTACACATGCACATCCAGACACCTGCACACGCGCCAAGCTCTCCTTCTGCGTACATTGGCCCCATCCTGGCTTTCTTTTCACGTTGACTCGCAAAGCTCAAGGCAGGGCACTGGTAGTGCGTTTGATAAAAAGAAAGAAAAAGAACTTTTTCCTTGGCGCTGGCTTTGCCCTCTTTCGGAAGGCCACTCCTCTGCCCCGCCCGCTGGATCCTGGCTTCCTTCCTTCCTGCGTCCTGGAGAGGTTCGGGTACCCTTCTCCAGGAGTGAAGTTCGGGGTGCGCACCAGTTTACCACGGGCTGGGCTACGGGGTTGGCGAAAGTTGGGCCTGCTGGGTCCCTGAGGCTGAGCCTAATAGAACGCGAACCCAAGGGGGCAAGCGGCAGCGCTGCCGTATTACTGTGGTTTCAGAAGTCCAGCCTGGACCAGGACTAAGTGGGACGCGTGCCCTGTCCCGGTCCCAGGCGCCCAGTACACTCCTGAGTTCTTTCTAAGGGTCGGGTTTTAGCTGACGTCATGAGGCTTGGCTTTCCAGTTTGTCCATGAAGATACAAGTCCCCGGTGTTCGTGTGATCTGGGGTCTGAATCTCTCTCTTCCCCTGGTAAAGGCGAAAAAAAACTGACCGCGGGGCGCGAATAAAGCTTGGCATGGTGTACTTCTCATAAGCTAATTTGAACTGTACGGACTGTCGACAAAGTAGGTTAGGTTTCTCCCAACTGGCCGCTCCTCTTTGACATTCTCCTCTGCCGCAGGGCCCAAGTAGAATCTTGGACTCCAGCGACCCCGCCTTTGACCTCAGTGTCTACTGGAACACAACTGAGCAGAGAACTGGTTGTGGCAAGACCAGCGGCTCTTAGGAGGCTGCTCCTTTGGGATCACCGAGGACCTTGGCCCGGGGCGCGGCTCTTCATCCTCGCAAGTGCAGTCTTTAAAGGCCCTTGAGACGCTCAATTTACCGGGAGCAGCCTCTGACTCCGTCAGCCGCCTTTACACCTACGACCCTAGTCCTCGAGGTCGCTATATACTGATAGGTGCCGGCTCCCTGACTCGCTCCAGACTCTGGGGTTGCGCTTATTTTTGAGACTGAAACACCAGATCTGAGGCGCCGCCAAGGTAGGAGGCCCACTAGAGCCCCAGACCAGTCGCAAAGTCATTCTTTTACAGATGTAAAACATCTCCCAGTTAAGTATGCTTTTTTTGTTGTTGTTTTCTTCAAGAGTTTAAAAGTGGTCTCCTCTGCAAGTGTCGCTTCTGATTCCGAAGCTGCAGAGTCCAACTGGGTAGCGAGCACGTGCCTCTGTGCCAGCCAGCTCAGGTTCCAGCTATTCTACTGCTGTGCGGCAAACGCAGCAAGCGCGCGCGTTCACCCAGCTACCTTAAACAAATCCACAAAAGCGCAGCTACTCCACGAGTCATTGTACCGAAAATCAAAAGATACAGGACAACCAACAGTGCCCAGAAGTTGAGTAGGGTGAAGGAAAAGAAACACAATCTTTTGTTGTATATAAATCATAAATTTCATTCTACGAGAAATTTGCTGTGTTTACATCGATAATTCTAACAAAAAGCCTAGTACAAAACTAACAACTTGTACAGGATTGCTATCATTCTATTTTAAAGCGTGTTCTTGCTTTTTAAAGGTTTGTTTTCAGAAACAAGTTGGAGTGTTCATTAAACCAGTTTACTCTTCAAAAGCCTGAGAAAAAAGTGACAATAAAAACATGGCCAATGTGTTATGTTAAATCAGACTTTGATTTTTTTATGCTATTGCTTTTTCGCTCATGAGTTTTCCGAGGTTTTAAAAATCCATGTCATTAAGGACATATTATAGTTGTGTGCAATCTAGTGCACCATAGCGACCCTACAGGATATAGTCGAACTGTCCCATCCTCTGAAGCCTTATACAGGGAATGAGTTGGAATGGAGTCCATGGAATTGGATTTCATCTTTACGGAAGCAGACTGCCACATCTTTTGCCCGTGGAGCTTTTGGTTAGCAGACCAAACAAATCTTAACAAGTGTTCCATTATCACCATACAGAATTTAAATCCCATGACCTAGGCTTTACTTAACAAAGGTGCTTTGAAAGAAAAGACATACTTTTTCTAACTAGCTTATATGAAATATTGTAAAATTCTGCTCCCACAAATAGAATGGATTTTAGTATTTCTTGAACCCTTTCCGAAGAAGAAAAATAACCCACGAAGTAAAAACAAATTAGTCTAGTGCCACGATGGTGCATAATAGGCGGTTGAAAAGTAGGAGTGTTTAAATGAGAAAGGAGAGGCCTGGTTTCTGTGAATTCTCTTCACTGCCAATAAGTTCTGAGTTGTTTCAACCTTAAATGCTAAGGGGGTGAGTCGGGAATTTAAGGTCTCCTTACGGATTCTTGATAGTCTAACTTTGTGATCATCTCAGTTTAAAGCCAGGAACCCGCATTTTTTCCAAGTTTTGGAGAGGAAAACTAGTCTTCGGGCTGTAGTGGACTGTGTGCTGCAGGATGACAGACCCTGTCCACCGTGCGTAGGGCTGACACGTCAAAGCCAGACGGCGGCGCTTTTCACTCCCAAGTTTTCGCGACCTTGTAAGGAAGTGGGCGAGGGCTGTGCGGAGTCGGCTTCCCATGATTGGCCGGCCGTCTAGGTGACTGACAGTCGCCCCCCCTAGCTCCGCCCCCGCCACTTTATTGACACTAATGAGCAAGTTCTTCCCAGCGCTCTCCTGCTTGGAAGTGCTGACAGATCAAGGCAACAAATTTCAATTACAATCCCTAATTTGTGTCCGCAGAGTGTTTTTTTACCCATGCTAGTTCTCTTCGGCGCATCAGTCGAGGCAGATCTTGGAGCTGCAAGAGGAGGTGGAGGGGGTGGGAGCGAAGGAGTGCATCAGTGAGAGAGCGCGCGCGGGAGACTAAGGAAAGGAAGCTTGGCGAGCGCGTTGATTGCTCATTCCTCGGATCCCAACACAAACGAGAAAGAGGAAACGCCAAATTTGTTCTTACTCGAGACGGGGAAGGGACAGACGAGCTCGGCCGGCGTGAAAACCCTAGAGTTGTTTAAATTTTGGTAGGGGAAGGAGAGCGAGTGTGTGCGTGTGCCCGCGTGAGTGTATATGAGAGAGTGGCGCGCGGCCGACGGGCGGGCGCCGGGCGGCGGGGATGGCCGAGAAGCGGAGGGGCTCGCCGTTCAGCATGCTAAGCCTCAAGGCACACGCCTTCTCAGTGGAGGCGCTGATCGGCGCCGAGAAGCAGCAGCAGCTACAGAAGAAGCGGAGAAAGCTAGGCGCGGAAGAGGCAGCCGGGGCCGCGGACGACGGAGGCTGTAGTCGCGGCGGCGGTAGCGCGGAAGAAAAGGGTTCCTCTATGAGAGACGAAGGCACTGCGCTCTCGCCGCAGCCTGGGGCGGTATCCGGGCCGGCCCGGAGCAATGCGGACCTGGAGCGGAGCTGTGGATCCGGCGGAGCAGCTGGTGAGTCGGCCCCTTCCCGCCCAACTCCGGGGCACGTCCCGGGGATCTTCCCGATCCGCGGTCTCGAATCTGAACTTTTGAGGGTGTGCTTGCGCCCCGTGTTCTTCGCGCCGGAGGCAACTCAGCAGCACACGCGTTGGCCGTGGGTGTTTGGGCGCCAAACGTGCGGCTTGCTTCCTTTGCAGGTCCTGAGCGCAACTCGAGTCACCCTCCAGACGGTTAAAATGAAGTTTCTATCCTTGCCTTCGCAACTCTTTAGCCGTGGCTGAGGAGTTTCTTCATATGCCTCCCTTGGGGTCCCAGCCAATGGGTGCTCTTTTTTCTTTCCTAACTTTTAAAAGCATGGTGGGTGGAGTGGGAAGCAACAGGATATCCACCCCGAAACCGGAACGAATACTCTAAACGTCTTGTGCAAACCAGGAAGAAGGCGGCATTTTTGTAAAATGTTTCCCTGGGGTAGCGGAGCTTCCAGTCCTTTTTTGATTGCCGCTGCCCAAGGCCGACTGCGATTGCGATGTCGCTTTCTGTTCGGCCTTAACGGTTCTCTGCTTGACTAGAAGCTCAGGAGGGTTCTGGCAAGAGAGGTGTCAGAAGAGCTTTCTGGAAAATGCCTCTGAGCGGGCCCAAAGTGAGGAGCCCGGACGCCTATTGCCAAGGGAGGCCCCCGTGCGCTCTGGACCAGAGGCTGGGATCCTAGGCTCTTCTGCTGCCTGCCATTCGGGGCGCACGTTTTGTTGGGATCAGTACAGGGGGGCTCTGGGCTGGAGAACCCGGCTCAGTCTCAGTCGAGCCAGGGCTTCAAACCCTAGGGGTGGCGTGAAGCTATTTGGGGTTCACCTGGCCCTACTGACACCCCGCGGGTGGGGCGAACGCAGCCCGCGCCTTGCAAGGCTTGAGACCTGGAGCGCCGTGAGTCCCTTCGGCAGGCTGGGAGCGGGTGTTTATCTCGGGGCCGGGAAGGTTTCTCGTTTTTTACCTAGTCCTTTCCCTCTCCTCAGCCCTGCTAAGAGGTTGGCGTGTACTTGGCCGCCTTCCCTTCTAGACCTATCACTGAATCCTCCCTCTTTGCCCAGGCGGCTGTGAGGACCGCTTCCTGCAGGGCACGTCTCCACAGGCGTCCCCTGGGGGCTCACCGAAGGGGTCTCCAGCACCTGCCCTGGCCCGGCCTGGGACCCCGCTGCCCTCGCCACAGGCACCGCGGGTGGATCTTCAAGGAGCCGAGCTCTGGAAGCGCTTCCATGAGATTGGCACAGAGATGATCATCACCAAGGCCGGCAGGTAAAAGATAAGCTGGCTCGACCCGCCCCCAGCCCCCGACCCTGGCCTTTCCCCACCTCCCCTAGGGTTAGGAAGAAGGGCCTGTAGAGCGAGAGGCTGCCAGCGGCTCATGTTTATGTACAGACAGGACAAGGCCCCGGACCGAAGTGTACTTCTAAGGCAGAATTTCCGTGTTGAGTACGGGAGTACTCCTTCGATGCTTGGGAAACCCGGCAGTTACAGATTCAAAGTCGTATTTAAAATTTGTCCAGGCATTTATTTACGTCCCAATGACCATTCCTGGGACTAGGCAACAGATTTCTTAATTTCTTTTTTTAAAAACACTTTTAAAAACCCTTTAGCCAAGCGATTGTTTGAGTTTCTAGATTGGAGAATTCTAGGTTGGTTCTTTGTCAAAATATCCACTGACAATGTAAGAAAGTGGTGTGTTGGTCTGTTTGGATGGTAGTCTAGGTGAAAATCACCGGGGATGCCTAATAATACCTATTCAGCCCCATGTAATTGTGAAAATAACTACGTTGATTTTTTTAAAAAAAAGGACATTCTGTTTGTACATACAGTTACTTTTTCTAAGTGAACTTTAACTAACTAAACGAAATATGCTGAAGAATATTAATTTTTTTGTAAGAAGTTTCATCAGGTTTTTGAAAGTATAAAAATTGCATGCGCACCAGTTAGTAAAATAAATTTTTACGATCTGTTGACCAAATCATATTAATTTGAACTAGGCACAAAAATATTTGCATTTAAAAATTTTCTGCTCATTTACCACAACGAAATCTATGAATAATATGCTCCCTTAAAAGAAACTTTAAATAAAAAATACACACTACTTTTTCAGACTACACATGGCAAAAACCTGGACAGCATGAAAATATCCAAACTTATTAGAAATTACAAAAAATATTTTATTGAAACCATATGGTAACTTGTACATTTTCACAAAGCTTTTATTAATGATCTGAATTCAGTCTTCCACAAAGCAAGTTGTCTTATAAAGGATGTAGTTAAAGACCTTTACTCCTTATCTTACAGATGCACTGAAAAAACAATCAAATAGCCAGCATATTAAACTGCTAGTTAAGAATAATGGAGTTTCTTTTCTCTAAAAGTAGTCCTTAATGGCATTCTTGCTATAGAATAAAATTCTGGTAAATAAATAACACTACTAAAATTTGTGTTGTAAGGTTAGATTAGCAAAAGTTAGATTAACTGGAAAGGGTTCTAGACATAAATCAGTAAATGAAAGTTAAGAAAAAAAAGAAAGAAAGAAAAACCCATTCTATTTGTTTTCTCTAGCTCAAAACCAGTAATTTGCTGTTGTATTCCTTGCTACTTTGTCTTTTAAAAGGGTAGGTGCACTTAACTTTAACTCCTTTGATAAGTATCTCTGAGAAGCCAAGAGACAATGGTAACTTTCATTTGTTTTCAATAGCAATTTATGTAAGTGTGGTTAAATAAGAAATTATTTTCAGTGTACAAAGGAGGAAGGAATGATTTGGTAAATATACGTTATGTTTAGTTTCTGCTTTTAATAAAGAAGTTTTACTATACCTTTCAAATTTAGAGCAACTTTTGCACTTCACCTTTACCATGCTGCAGACAGGAAGTCCTGTCTCAATAAAGAACATATTGTTTGGTTATAGCATGGCACATTGACTCCTTGTGGCTTTTAATAAGCCTTTTAAATTTTTACATTATAACATTTTACCACTTTCAGAAATTCAAATTTTTGATTTTCGCTATTTGGTGCATTTCATTATTTGGGTTATTGAACTAAATATGCTTATTGACTCTTGTTTTATGAAATAAAGTATATTATTTAGTGCTATTCCTCCTTCAGTGTACAATTCTGCTTTAAAGTTTTACTGACATTTTAGTAAACATGGAACACATGTACAGGGTGCCACAAATTTTTACATTGAAAAACCTGTTTTGATATGTCCTAAAGTGAATGTTAAACATTTGTACTTACAAAAAATGGAGATTTGAAAGGTGTCTTTGCTTACTCATTCTCCATGTAGAATCAACACTAGCAGTTCAAACCCATCAGCCACTCTTTGGAAACCCTATTCAGGGTTGACAGCAATTAACAAGAGTCACAGAATACAAACTCTTTTTTCCTTCCCCTCTTTGATACACAGACGCATGTTTCCAGCAATGAGAGTGAAGATCTCAGGATTAGACCCTCACCAACAATACTACATTGCCATGGATATTGTGCCAGTGGACAACAAAAGATACAGGTACAGTGATTATCGAAAATGCTAAGATATTGCCTTCTTTTTCAGTAAATGCGGAAACATGTTTTTTGTTTTGTTTTTAATAGATACACAAATGACTTCAAATATAGTTTTGTTATTGATAGGGACCTCTCTTAATGCCCTTTGATATTGGTAAGCTGAATTGTCTTGTGTGTGGATTCACATTTCTATTAGAATTTTGAGGGAAAATGTTAAGGCTTGTGCATAGATGAATGTGTTTTATTACACCAAATATTTCATTTTGTTTGTGATTTTTAGCCTTCAAATAAATTCACTTGAACATGGGGCTTTTTTCCTTGAAACTTGAGAAATTCATTTCAGATTTTCTATAATTAAGAAAGTGAAAATCCCTTGATTCACTATGATATTGACGTGTTTAAAATGTTAATAAGTCCTTACCTTACTGGTTTTTGGTTGTTAACACAACATAATTTCTTAAAACTTTACAATGTCTAGATTTTGAAATAGAATATACTTATGTAGGTATCAGGTAGACTTTGAAAGGATGTACATTCTTTAATTACAAACCTACCTTTGCTCTTTTTACTCTGTAAGAAAGCAAATCCTCACTTTTCAATGTGGCCAAAGTTTTATTTTCATGATGTTAAAAGCACTAACATTTTTTTAAAAGGAGGTTTTGAGTACTGGAAGATCAGAGATGATGTTTTAAATTTTGGCTTTCTTAAAATTTCTATTTTTAAAATAATGAGTGTGATTAAAAAGACTAGCATTGCTTTTAGTAAGTTTTCAAATGAAATCAAATTTGATTTTTGCTACTTTAAAAAATATAGAATTGTGTGGATTTTTTAAAAACCATTTTAGTGTTAAAATAGTATATAGGTTTTAAATAGAATATGGAATTATACTACAAAAATGGTACTATTAATGGCAATTTGGTTTATACGTATTTTGTGTTTAGACTGTATTGCATAGTTCTTTCATCATATAAATTTTTAGCTTTTGACAGAAGCTAAAAAAAAAAGCATTGAAGTTCATCCTTTAAATACACTTGGCTTGAAAACCTATATTCTAATTTGGCTTTTATGCTGAGGAAGATAATATAATTCTTAACGAGCTTAGAAGTTATTATTTGTCCTAAGTGAAGTGTTCTACTTCCTTCTCCAGATTTCCTCCATGTGTTTTGAATAGTTTATTTTACTTAACTGATTCTTATTTATTCACATATTAAGCAAGGGGATTTCAAGTATTAGTGCTAAGATGCGAATTTTAAAATATAAACTTGTAAAACATAAATTTGCTTTCAGTTACATAGTTTCCAAAGAAGAAATTTGTGTCTAGCAGTTTTATTTAGAATATGATGTTGTTGTTTTTGTTTTTTACAAAGAATGTGAAACATGTAACATTTATTCTTAGTGAATATTGATTTTTGAACTATTTAATATGTATACTTTTTCTAAGATTTCATAGAACATACTACTCTGTTTATTTTGCTAATTACCAAATTTATATCCACAATGCAAGTTTTTCTTGAATTTGTAAGATTTTCATTTTAGATTCTACTTTTTTCAGTAGTTTTAGGGAAAAAGTTTTGGGGTTCATTTTATGATGTCAAAATAGTATTTGCTCAAGCTAAAATGATTGGTCAAGTTAAGATGTTTATATTTCTTAAGAATGTAAATAAAAATTCACAAAAATGTACATTTGTGAATTTATTTATTGAAATTATGCCATACCAATTAGAGGACGTTAAGAAGTTATATTTCTTAATTTTGTGTTCATTTTTCCCAAGAAAAGGAATCATAACATAAGAGGCATATTAAGAGCTGTGGCTCTGTAGGATAAGAACTGTACTGCTAACCAAAACGTCGGCAATTCAAACTTACCAGCTACTCCTGGGAAACTGTGTACAGGGTCTCTATGAGTCAGAACTGATTCAATAACATTGAACAGCAACTACAACAATTGAGAACTGCAAAGAGAATGAAATATGTCATCATACTTTAAACAGAGAATCCCATTAGACACATTATGATAATGTAGTGTGCTATTTAAAAAAGAATTTGGCATACTATACAATATCTTAGACTCTTTGCAAATTACTACTTTAAGTTGTATGCCACATTTCAAGACACAAATAGAAGAGAAACACCTTAGTATATTTCATTTACTCCCCTTTTCTAAGTGATTCATTAGTATACTAGGTTTTAGATCATTGCTGTTTTTGTTGAATGCCATCGAGTCAACTCCGACTCACAGTGATCCTGTATAGGGTTTTGAGGAGCAGCTGGTGGGTTTTTACTGCCCACCTTGTGGTTCACAGTCCAGTGCAGATCATACAGCACCACATCAGATTAGCGTATCTTAAATGATACTAAACAAAAAATTGAATGAAGAGCTAAATATTACCTTATTACTTAAAAACAGTGTTTTAAAAATGTTTATTACTGAATCAATATATTCGACATATATAAGCATAAAGAATAGAATGGTTGTCTCTTAATTAGAAAAGTAATATTAATTAGCTATATCATCATTTTCAAAGTTTGGTTTACGTTTCAACAGTGGTATTTGGAAATTCTTTGAGAGAATTGTCTTACGAGGGCCACAAAAGAGAAATATGGGAGGTAAATAAAGGTCTACACTGTCTGAGTATTAAGTATAACAGAATAATTTATCCTCAGTTTGCAGTACCATAGAATTAGAAAAAATAATTCTAAATGATAACAGATAAGCCTTTTTCCCTATGAAAATATAGTTTACTGGATCTATGACAGTTTCCTCTTACCATCTGATTAGCCTTCACATAAATTTAAAATGGGAAGTGATCTTAAAGGAAGTGTGACAGCTTAAGATATTATAGACATCAAGTATTTTTTGAGATTTTTTTAGGGTGATATTGACAGTTTAATAATATTTTCATAAAAATTGGATATCCAGATAAAAATGGAAAAATATTAGAATATTATATGGCATGTCTGATGTGAATATATATTATTCATAAGCATTAAGATACTTGCATTTATGGTAGTGCATATTTTTCACTACACCCTTACTTAACACACAACCTACTTTGAGTTGTCAGTAGGTCATCACTGCCTCAGAGTTTTTGAAGAGTACCTGAACTCTAATTTTTATGTATACTGACTGTAAAGAGGAAATGTTGTTTTTAAACATGAAAAAAAAAAAAGCCCATTTTTCCAGATTCTGTGGAGTTGAATATTCTAAGAGATCCATAGTTCGGATACTACTGCAGTCTTGTCATTGCCTTCTAGGTATGTTTACCACAGCTCTAAATGGATGGTGGCAGGTAACGCTGACTCTCCTGTGCCACCTCGGGTGTACATTCATCCGGACTCACCTGCCTCAGGGGAGACTTGGATGAGACAAGTGATTAGCTTCGACAAACTGAAGCTCACCAACAATGAACTGGATGATCAAGGCCATGTAAGTATGCCACCTCCCTGATGCCAGCCATATCTAGACTGTGATCTTCCTTTCCTGGTCTATCCAAGTGTGTGTAATCTGTTCAGAATCAAAGTTGTTTTTGTATCAAAACCTATGCCTGCGGCTAGAGAATCCTTGTTGTTGTTACGTGCCATCGAGTCTGTACCGACTCATAGTGGCTCTGTATAGGGTTTCCGAGGAGCCACTGGTGAGCTTGAACCGCTGACCTTGTGGTTCAAAGCAACTTTGCAGTCCAGCACATTAACCCACAGTGCCCACAAAGTATTTAATAGGTTATTTGTAACAGAATGAAAAAATCTATGGCAGACATTGTTTTTAGCGAAAATATAATGCTTGAAATCCCATGGAGTGGTAATTATTCATTATACTTTTAATATGAATATTTGGGAAGTGGGTTAACAGGAATAATGATTTATTGTGTCCTGTCTGCATATAGCTCTTTTCTCGGCTGAAACTCATTGCTTCTCAACACCTGACCGAGGTTCATGCTGTTTGTGTTTTATTTATAAGCTTCCAATTGTTTTGTAATGACATCTAATGTGTCAAAATATGTTACTGTAATTCTTATTCATAAAACTGATGAGAAATATGATATGTAAGTCAAAGTTCATCTATTCTAATAATATAATGATTGTAACACCTTATTAAATTTTTAATGCAGTATTGTTCCTAGGCAAGATTCTACTATATTGGTTAATAAGTAACTCTGGGTACATGCTGACTTCCATTCAGAATTAGATTTCTATTAGGTTTCTGTTACTTGAGAGGGTTTTGATTGAGGCAGGATTGAAATGCCTTTTAAAGACTGCATTAGACCTAAAAGAAAGAGTAGCAAGTCTGTAGTTCTTTTCTTAAAGAGGTGATACAACAAATCTGGTGTAGCACTGTAGGATAAGCACTTAACCTGGTCAGTTTGAACCATAAGGTTGGCGGTTCAAACTCATCAGCCACTCCTCAGAAACCCTATACAGGGTTGCTATGAGTCAGAACCAACTTGATGACACTTAACAACAACAGCATAGTAAGAGCATATTTGAAATTATTGTAACTGTCATAAACTCATAATACAGTGCTATCAGGATTTGGTTTGCAAGTTGCAAGACAATTGACTTAAAGAAAGAATGCAGGTAAAATCCATTGCTATAAAAATGCAATATCTAGATTTCTAAGATGTAGCTAGTGGAAGCTAACATTGGTGGTGCTTTCATGCATTGTTTGTATTTTATAATTTAAAACAATAAGAAAAACAAGAACTTTATTCTCTCAATTTAGCTTCTTGCCCTGTATTTTAATACATTTAATACAAAAAATGTTTCTCATTTTCTTTTTTTGATTCTGTTTACAAAGTCAAGTTTTGACCATCATTTTTCACTTGACTTCCACGATAGGACATGGGTTTCTTCTGTAACATTGAAAGGACAATAAGATATTGCCAGCATGTACATTAAGGGTTGTTTTATCTATTTTTTAATTTAAAAAATGTAGCCTAAATGCCATCATTGTTACTGGTTTTCCAAACTTTTTGTATACCACACTCTACTGAGTTTTCTGGTTTAAGAGTATAATTTGTAAAGAGATAAATGAATTTAAAACTATGTACTTTCAGTGTTATTGATGTTGTTGGGTGCTGTTGAGTCAGTTCTGACTCATAATGACCTTATGCACAAAAGAAAGAAACAGTGCCCAGTCCTGCGCCATTTTCACAACCGTTGTTAAGCTTGAGCTCATTGCTTCTGCTACTGGACCAATCCATCTCATTGGGGGTCTTCCACTTTTTGACTCACCCTCCACTTTACCAAGCATGATATCCTTCCCCTGGGGCTGGTCCCTCCTGATACTATGTCCGAAGTATGAGAGATGAGGTTTCACTATCCTGGCAAAGTATTGAATGATGCTGAAATTATCTAAAGAAAATGGAAGGAATATACAGATTCTCACTGTACCAATAAGAAATGGTCAGTGTTCAACTATTTCAGGAAGTAGCATATGATCAAGAGCCAATGATGTTGAAAAAAGAAGTTCAAGGTGCAATGAAGGCATTGGCAAAGAATAAGGCACCATTAATAGATGGAATACAAATTGAAATCTTTCAACAAACTGATGTTGCACTGGAGGCACTGACTCATCTATGTCAAGAAATGTGGGCAATTGATTGGAAGAGATCCTTATTTGTGCCCATTCCAAAGAAAGATGACCCAATGAAGTGCAGAAATCATCAGAATATTGATATCGTATGTGAGTAAAGTTTTACTAAAGATAATACAAAAACTCCTGTAACCATACATTGACAGAAAACTTCCAGAGGTTGAAGCCGGATTCAGAAGAGGACATGGAATGAGCAATATCAGTACTGATGTCAATGGATCTTGGCTGAAAGCAGAGAATACCAGAAGGATGCTTACCAGTGCTTTACTGACTACATAAAGACTTTTGATTGTGTGGATCATGGCAACCTGGGGATAACATTGTGGATAATGAGTATTCTGGAACATTTAATTGTGCTCATGAGGAACCTGTACATAGACCAAGAGGCAGTTGTTCAAACAGAATAAGAAAACACTAAATGATTTAAAATTAAGAAAGGTGTGTGCCAGGGTTGTATTATTTCACCAAACTTATTCAACCTGTATGCTGAGCAAATAATTTAAGAAGCTGGATTATATGAAGAAAAACGTGGCAACAGGATTGAAATAAGACTCATTAACAATCTGCGATAAGCAGATGATACAACCTTGCTTGCTGAAAGTGAAGAGGACTTAAAATACTTACTAATGAAGATCAAAGACCACAGCCTTAGGTATGGGTTGCATCTCAATGTAAAGAAAACAAAAATCCTCACCACTGGACTAATAAACAACATCCATAGAAATGGAGAAAAGATTAAAGTTGTCAATGACTTCAGTTTGCTCGGATCAACCATCGACACTCATGGAAGCAGCAGTCAAAAACATCAGACAACATATTGCATTAGGCAAGTCTTGTTGTTGTTGTTGTTAAGTGCCGTTGAGTCGGTTCCGACCCATAGCGACCCTGAACAGGGTTTCCGAGGCTGTAAATCTTTACAGGAGCAGATCGCCTCATCTTTCTCCAACGGAGCAGCTGGTAGTTTCAAACTGCTGACCTTGTGGTTCGCAGCCCAATTCATGACCACTACACTACCAGAGCTCCTAGGCAAGTCTTAGGACCTCTTTAAAATGTCGAAGAGCAAAGATGTCAGTTTGAGCACTAAGATGCTTCTGACCCAAGCCATGATATTTTCAATAACCTCATATGTAAGTGAAAGTTGGACAGTGAATAAGGAAGACAGTAGAAGAGTCAACGCATTTGAGTTATGGTGTTGGAGGAGAATATTGAAAATGCCATGGGCTGCCAAAAGAACCAACATCTGTGTTGGAAGAAGTACAGCCAGACTTCTCCTTGGAAGCCAGGATGGCCAGACTATGTCTCTCATATTTTGTACATCTTTTCAGTAGGGACCAGTCCCTGGAGAAGGATATCATGGTTTTTAAAATGGAGGGTTGAAGAAAAAGAAGAAGACCTTCAATGAGATTGTTTGGCACATTGACAGAAGAAACAGGCTTGGACATAGCAACACTTGTGAGGTTGGTGTAGGAACCGGCAGTGTTTCATTCTGTTGTGCATAGAGTCACTATGAGTTGGTACCGACTTGATGACACCTAACAACAAGATATAGATTTAGTAATGATTATCTATATGTGTTTCAGGGGCTCTGGTAGTGTAGTGGTTATGAAGCTGGCTGCTAATCTCAAGGTCAGCAATTTGAAGCTATTAGCAGTTCGGTGAGAGAAAGATGAGGCTTTCTGCGCCCATAAAGATTTACAGCCTCTGAAACCCTATGAGTCAGAACCAACTCCATGACACACCACCACCATCTACATGTTTTTACATTGGAATTTAACAACATTTTATTTAAAACAAGGTTTTTAAAACACCAAAAAAAAAAAAAAAAAAAAAAACAACACTGAAATTCTATTTCTTACACCTAAATAATTATAAATATTTTACTACTATAAAAATAAAATATTTTACTATTACCAGATAACAGGCAAAGCCTAAAGAAATATGAGAGTCCTGGTGTGGCACTGTGGGTTAATGTGACAGACTGCAAAGGCATTTGAACTGAAAGGTCGGCAGTTCAAGCTCACCAGCTGCTCCTAAGAAACCCTATACAGGGTCGCTGTGGGTCACAATCAGTTTGACAGCACTTCACAACACAACAACAACAAAGAAATGTGTTGTCTTTGGGTGGAAATTTTCCTTTTAAAGAATTTCAACCTATGTGCAGATCTACTCATTTCTATGATTAACATGTTTGGGTCCCTACTCTCTTGTTCACATTTCTCTATTCATCAGAAATTTTCCATCTAGAGGGAAAAGTTTAGATCAGGACTTCCCTAAAGAATTCGAAGACATTTCACAGGTAGCAATGCACTTTAGATTTTTAACGGGACTCCTACCTGGTATGGCACTGTAGGTTAATGCACCATACTGCAAAGCCGTTTGAACTGCAAGGTCGGCAGTTCAAGCTCACCAGCTGCTCCTTGGAAACCCTATACAGGTTCGCTATAGGTCGGAACCAGCTCGACACTTCACAACAACAACAACAACAACAAAAACAATCTGCAGTACTGAGGGTTTCGGGAGAAGCAGGGCCAGCTGTCAAAGCCAAGGAAGGGACCTGTTAGAAAGCCTCCCAGTTCTGAGGACTGGATGATAAAGTCACCCTAGATCTGGGCTTGTCATCACACTCTTCCCATTTCTCCTTAGAATTAGATAGGAGAGTACCTAGTTACCGGAGAGGTTGCTGAGGTCTCCCTGGTGAAAGGAACTTGTAACAGTTTAGAAATACAATATATTCATATTCTTGGGCAAGTCACTTATTCTGTGTGAGACTGGGTTTTCTCATGTGTTATATTGGAATCAGAGAACTTTGAGTGGATCAGATGAGCTGATGACCT